TGGTGGGGATGATAGTGATGATGGTTGCATTTAAAGACTATATTGCTCATATATGTGAAGGAAATACCAAAATACATTGAAAATACCAACTATACTCTTGGAGGAAGACTATCCCAAGTCATTGTAGAATTACAATTTTGCTCTTTTTAATGACTTTCTGAATGCTACATTTCTTGAGTGAAGACAATAACTTCTACATTGGGAGGAGTCGCAGTGGAAGGTAACATCAAGGTCACGAAGAGTGCCGAGGGGCCACTCTGGCCAGAGGTAAAGTATACAGAGGGAATAAAGAATAAGTGGTAAGAACACCTTTCTCTGTTCCTGAAATCCACTCGTGGCATCTACTCCTCACTTCGGTGGCTCTCAACTCTGGCTAGGGAATCAGTAGGATTGCCTAAGAGGTTTTCAAAAACACCCCTGTGTGTCCCCGCCACAGGTCACCTGATCATAGAGGGTGGCACAGAGATCATCTCGGAGGTGGGTGCACGGGACCACGCCCAGTGGGGGTGTCGCAGGTGGACGCCTCCAGGAGCCCTTGGGAGAGAGCAGGGAGCCCCGCCGCGCCCACCCCACTGTGCCTCGCCTCCCCCACCCCTTGTGCTCTCAAGATGGAGCCGGCAGTGCAGACTCCAAGGCCAAAAATGTGGGAAAGTTTATTTATTTCCCCAAAACATTCCTGATTTGTAATGTGCTTTCTAAAAATGTTCCAGCTGACCAAGCCCCTGCTATATTTAGCTGCAGCATTTAAAAGAAATGTTCTTTACACTTTATAAGGCGGGCCAGGAAATGCAAGGGTTTAAGAGAAAATTGCTCCTCCTCTGGTCCCTCTCTCCCAGGAGGGGACAGAAGCTCCCAAGGCCCACAGGAACAGCCTCTGTGCTGGGGAGAGGCACAGAGTCCCATCCACTCAAGGGCCCTGAGCTCACAGGGGCCCAAGAGCCACCCCTGGGAAGTGCCCTCTGAGTGCCTGGGCCCCGGGGCTGAGCCGGGAAGCATGGTGGGGTTTCTGTCCCGCAGCCTGGCGTCTGTCTGGCCCTCGGCCATGTCTGCTGTCCTCGGCTGTCCCTCCATCATGAGTGGCAGCTCATTTTCTCTTGGCTCTGGATTCCAGCAGTCAGATCAGCTCCCAGGTGAAGCTGTGCAGTGAGAGGTGAAGTGGACTGCAGCCCTGGCGCAGGAGTGGAGAGGAGTCCAGCAGCTGCTGCTGCCCAAGAGCCACAGGACACGGGGGGAATGGCTGTTCAGGGTTTTGCTGCAGAAGTCAGAGTCCCAGACAGAGACTGGGGGCGCTGTATACAGTGCTAAGACCCACCATCCATTAGTGCTTCTTGTGTGCCAGATGTCAACCAGTTCCACTCTAACCACCACCCAGGCAGGAGGCAGATCCCTCCCATTCTGCCAACGTGGTGGGTCTGTCAAACCAGTGGATGCCTGTCTGTTAACTGTCTGCTCAGGACAGCACCATGAGGCAGAGGCCCCCAGTGAATGGCCTCGCCCCACCCCACCAAACACCAAGCACTGAACGATAAGGAACCAGTAAGATGCCCATGATAGGGCCTCCCCGTCTCGGGTGGTGTGTCCACCAGACCTGGAAGAGTGGGGGTAGGAGGTCAGTGGGGGGTGGCCAGTGCCTGGCAGGGCAGATGCCTGGGGCACCAGGAGGGTTAAAATATCTCTTGCTGCACAGAAGAGACAGAGCTGAGCATCAGGGAGACAGGGCCCACCAAGGGTGGGCACGTGTTCTGGAAGGTGAATGCAGCGTCGGTCAATCCAGGAGGCCAGCAGCAAGGCACGCCTTGCTTCAGATGCTCAACAACCTGAGCCAAGGCACGTGTCCCCCCTGCAGAGATTGAGGACAGGGACGGCAGGGTGGGGGCAAGACCATGAGGTCAAGTCCAGGCCCTGGTCCCACCCACCTAAGAGGAACAGACAGGGTCTGGAGCTGCCCCCAGCGGGAAGCCGACCCGTGGGAGAGCCCACCCTCTGCGTGCCACCGGCAGCCTGCTGCGCCTCGGTATCTGGGCAGCGGCCACCAGTGAGCCTAAGGAAGCACCCTTCCCCACCCACACACTTGTCCCTTCTCAGCCCATCTAGCCCTCAGCTGACCCCTGTGACCATGTGTTACTGGGGTCCCTCTAGCTGGTCTCTGACAGGTGTCAGTCAATGAGAGGCATCAGGGTGAGGCTGGGTACTGCGCCGGCTCCCTCCTGCTCTGGATCCGAAGGTGGCCTGCTGCAGGCCGAGGTGGTGGGAGAGCGTGTGGCAGAGCACTTCCCCTTGCTACTACCTGTGTCCCTGTCCTTCCCCACCCTGTAAACAGTCCCTCCCCTTGGCCTCTTCATTGCCCTAGTGAGTTTCCCTTCTCTGCCAGGACCTGCCTTCTCACACCTGGTAGGTAAGTGGTTGCAGCCAAATCTTTGCCCCACCATCTACCCTTATGCCTCAGTCCCCTCTGTCAGAGTAAACAGAGACACCTGAGCTACCTGTGTACCCCAGATGGCCAGGCAGCCCCACAGTGCAGATCCTGAGCTCAGACCCTCTGATCCATATGTGGCCTATGAGCCCCACGACTAATGTCCCCAGTGCAGTTAGTGTTTGGATGCCATTTGAAGGGACAGACCCCCACCACCACTCAAGGTCACTGTGTACCCAGGAGAACTGGGCCTTGGGATCTCTGGATAAAGGCCAGCAAGGTGGAGAACTCTCCATTTGGCTCTTCAGGTTATATTTTTAAATTACTTTAAACAGCAAAAGAATTTTACTTTCCCAACAAGCTCCTGCCCTTTGTTCTTGGTGACAAACTGTGCTTGTTATCGTCTGCATTTTCCACTTTGTGAAAAAGGCTTTACTTCACGGAAGCCAGAGTCCAGCCACCGTGAAGAAGGTCAGGCACAAGACCCTGACTTGCTGGATTCTCTCACTTGAAGGTGCAGCTAGCTTCTGAGATTGTCCCCTACTTCTGTGACATGAGCAACAGCCTCCTGTTGGCAGGTAGGCTCTGGGTCCGAGCTATAAAATAATCCCATTGGGCTAATTCTGTAACCCACCCAGGCATACACACTGCGACTGCACATCAGAGAACATGGTGTTTCTGAAAAGGTCTAAGCAGGCTTCTGGGTTCTGAACTCTCCCAGAGTGTGCTGGGAGCCTGGACAACACTGGCTCCTGCAAGAGCCGGCAAATTCCCCAAGCCAGACAAAGCCGAGACCTCTGCAAAGTTTTCTGTCCTCGTAAAAATCGTAGAGGCCAAGTTCTCAAAGTGGCTTCGTCTTCCAAGATTACTTTATAAAGTCTTTGTTAGTTTTATTACAATAATGCAAAAAAATAAAATAAACTGTCCCTAGCTTGAACTGTATAGGAAAACAAAATTGTAGAAAATTATACAGAAAAATAAAATCTTTCAATAATATCAATGTTTGGGCTAATGTGAAAGGAGCCAACAAATCCAATCTACATGCAAAAAGGGTGTATTTCTGGGAGTTCATATCTCTAACATACACATACACATGTAGGTATGCATACATATATCATACACAGGCATATATATGTATATGTAAATACCATAACATGCATGTGTGTACATATATATGTATGTATACACACTTACCATTATACATGTGCCTTCAAATCCTCCGTTATGATCAGTGTATTAATCTGTGCGTGTGAGAGAGAAAGAGATAGGGCTTGGAGCAAAGATCACTTCATTCAGAGGAGAGCAGAGATGCAAACCTTGAACTGGTTGGATAAAGCAGAACCATAAGCTTGCTTCTGGTTTTCCCTTAATGGAGCTAAGATTCTGTTTTAATCAAAGGTACAGACCATTTCTTGGTCTCACCGATCTATAATTTTGAGCCGATGATAAGTATGGGCATTAGAGCAACTGTTTGAGTCAATAAGGCCCAAATCCCCTCTTTTTCTTCAGTAGGAAGAAACATGTACAAAATTACATAAATCACCCCAAAATCCATTTTCCTTAGCATTTCTAAATCTGGGGAGAGGGAGGGTTGAATAGAATCGCCTTCCTGTATGTATAAATACACAAAGTACACACAGACTCTTGCATGTCTCTGTGCCTCAAAAACCATGTTCATACAATACTTCTTTGAATTTTAAGTCTAAACACAACCTTTTTCGAATAGTAGTATTAAATTATTTGTTTCTTGAAAAAACAGTGGTCACCAATGAAGAACATGACAGCAGATCCAACAAAAGAAAAAGAGAAATTAAAAACACCCAACACAGCTCAAGCACTCAACTTCCTTCCTGGTGTCCCCAGACTCCTTGGGGCACCGGGTCCCCCAGTCCCCCCTCAGCCTGTTCCTCTCAGGAGCCGGAGCCTCCCATGCTGCCGCATGGCTCTCGGCCGTGATCCCAGTCTCCTCTTTCCTATTACACTGTTTGTTTATTTCCCCCTAGTAATCCACTGAACCAGGCACTGAGAGGTTAATGTAAAAACAACTTTATTCACAGAGGCTGAGAGTGTGGGATAACAAAATATCCAATGACAGCCCACCACATTTTAAGTTCAGCACAGTGAGCCCGGCCCTCGCCCAGGGGCCTCTGCAGATCAAGGACGCTCCTGAGCTCACTGAAGTCTTCCCGTCAGCCTGGGTAGAACCCTGCCCTGGAAATGCCTGCGGATCAGTCTGCATGGTGGCTGTGCAAAGGGCCTACGCGCTCTGGGCACCCTCTGCCTGCCCCAAACATCCTTCGAACCTGTGGACCAGGAAGCCCTTTTGACTTAAAGCTCAGAACCATTTCTGTACAAGTCCTGGGAAATATCTTGGTTATTCTGAAGGCCTCTCTCAGTCCACCTCCAAGAACTCATGGCTCTTTGTACCTTTCCTACACCAGACAAGACACAAGTTCCTTGGACGTTCAGGAAATCGAGTTTCAGGACCCACAAGGCAGCCCGAGTGGAGGTGCGTGGGAGTCTGGGAGTCTGAGAGTGGTCCCCCAGAGGCTGGAGCTTACCAGATCTTTGTGGCAGACCCAGCTGCCCAACAGACTTCCAATCACCTCCTCAAGGTGTTTATTCAGCCTCCTGGTCTGCAGGAAGGGGCTTGGAGCTCCACCAGGCTCTATTGCAATCCTCCTGGGCCGGACCCTTCCTCAGTCAATAGCAAGTTTCCTTGCTCTTCCCAAATTAACCCATCTCTCCCTCAATCAGTATACGTTTGCCTCATTTGGCTTTTTGGATTAAATTAGTCCTTCATTACAGGATTCTGGAAAATGTAGCGAAAACCAAACCCAGATCTTGAAAAACTATGGAAATAATAAAAAAAAAAGTCTGATGTCGTCTAAGGCATACTCCACCCTCCACACCCTCCCCCTGTCGCTTAAAATCTTTCAATCCCTTAAAAACAAAAACAAAAGCAGAGCGGCTATTCTGAATTATAGACCCGGCAGGAAATGTAGACTCATCTCACTAGGCAATGGAACACCACCTTACCCAGCGTGCGCCTCAGGAGAAGCTGTTCCTGTGAGAGTAGAAAGAGCCAAGTGTTTAGGCAAAGAATAAAGCGTGTTTCTTTTACTGCCTAGAAAGAAATTCAGAGAAGAATTCTCCATTTAAAATACAAGTGTCACTGCGTTCCGGGGTTTCTGGGCATCCACCTTAACCTTGGTCATAAATGCTAACCAGGCCTACATTTCCAAAATGACCCCATGGAATAAGGGCCACCCTGCGCCCCAAACTGGACTTCTGGGACAAAGCCAACTGAGAACTGCCCCCCCCCAACATAGGGGACTCAAAGTCAAAGCCCAGGCCATGCGAGACATGGGAGCCTGCCACCATAGCATGTAGATCCAAAGGCCACGGTGACTGTAGTCCTGTGTTCAGGTGGTCAGCAGGGTTCTCCTGCCTAGTAGCCCAGGGCCTGTGGTGGCAGCAGAGGATCAAGTCATTAGGTCAAGGAATTCTCCTGGAAAGGGTCTGTTCAAATCCCCACAAGGTGGTTCTTTAGATCTCCAAGGCCAGTTCCCATTGCTGGGTAAATCCACTCCTGAGGAGGGGGGCAAACGCGCTCACCTACGCACAGAAGTTGGCGAGGCTGACCAGAACCCTATTGTCTACACAAGCAAAGATCCCTTTTAAAAGAATGTGCCTCTTCTCCTGACGGCGCGACGGTGGGACGGTGGCCGGTGGCTCAGAGGAGGCTCCGCCAGGGCAGAGGACAGAGCGCGCCACTGCTTGCTTTACTGGAAGCGAAGCACCGCCTCGGGGAGCTGCAGGGGGAAGTAAGAGAGGAAAGGGATCCCCAGCTGGTAAAAGCCGCCCTGGACGTGCGGGTCCAGCATCAGGGAGGCGTTGAAAGGTGGACGGAGACTGGAGGAGGCGGCCAGAAGTGAGGCGCCCAGGCCGCCGGCCGGCCCTGGCTTGGCGTCCCCCGGGACCTCGCCCCCTCCAGCCGGTGTCTGGCCCTGCCTCTCCGCCAGGATGCTGTCGATGCTGAAGCTATTGGACTTGGAGCTCTTCGGAGAGCTGCGGGAGGCGGGCCGCGGAGGGGACCCTGGGCCATCCCCCGTGCGCGCTGGCTGGCCCACCGCCACGGTGCCCTGGACAGCATCGCCTGCGTCCTGGTCCGGCGACCCAGGGCCCAGCCAGTGGAGGGACGCCTGCGGAGAGGAGCCTTCCCCGAGGGGCGAGGGGCGCTTGGGCGCTCCCTCACGGCTGGGGCTTCCGGGACTGGGGCGCGCTGCCCCGCTGGCCGCCTGGGGCCGCGCCTCTGAGCCGCGCTCCTGCAGCTCCGCGCGAGCCCGCTTGGCCTCCGGGGCCCCGGCGCCGGGTTTGGGCTTCCTCTTCCGGCGCCGGTAGTTGCCATTCTCGAACATATCCAAGCAGCGAGGGTCCAGCGTCCAGTAGCTGCCCTTGCCCGGCCGCCCTTTCTCGCGGGGCACCTTGACAAAGCAGTCGTTGAGCGAGAGGTTGTGGCGGATGCTGTTCTGCCAGCCCTGCCGGTTGTCGTGGTAGAAGGGGAAGCGGTCCATGATGAACTGGTAGATGCCGTTGAGTGTGACCCTCTGCTCGGGCGCGTCCTGGATCGCCATGGCTATGAGCGCGATGTAGCTGTACGGTGGCTTCTGTGGGGGCTCCGCTCGGCCCGAGGCGGCCAGAGCAGCCGCGGGGGCGAAGGCCAGAGGCAGCCCGGGTCTCTCAGGGCCGTACAGATAGAGCATGGGCGAGGCGGCCAGAGCAGGCAGCCGGGGACCGAAGAGGTGACTCATGGCGAGCCAGAGCCGGCGCTGCGCTCCGGTAGGCAGGCGACCCCGGAGGCTCAAGGACTGCGCCGCGCGCCACAAGGGCCCTCCTGGGGAGCCTGCCTCCAGTCTGCCCTCCGCTCTGCCGCTCTCCCTGGCTGCTCCGCACTCTGTCCTTTCTTCATGGCTTTAAAAATGTTAAATAATTGTTGTAAGTTTGCTATTATATGTTGACTTAGCGCTGGAAAATAAATTGTCTATGATAAACAGTCGTTGTGTTCTCAGCCCACCCACATTAATTAAAATTTCATTGCTGAAAAACTCCAAGCTTTTCTCTCCACGTGTCTTTTTGATACCAGCCAATCGGTTTCGGGGCTATTCCTTCATTTGTTTATAGAATTAGTCTGTTGATAAGTCCGCCCACCCAAGTTGAATCAAGCTGTGTTTATTTGGAAAAATTTCCGGGCACCCAATATATAAACGCACTGATCTGATGTTTGAAATATCACGTCCACCCCTTGACGCTGTAAGCACACACAGTCAGTGAGGCAGGATGTGGACGGGTGGCTCGAAGCCGGGTCTGCAGGGCCAGGAAGGCAGGGTGGGGGGGCACCAGCGTGGGTTTTACTGTTGGCCTAGGGGCACCCCATAACCTTGAGTCTCCCACAAAAGGTCTCTCTTCTTCCACGTCATTAGGAGATGGAGAGAGCAAGGCCCTACAAAGTACTTTCTGAGGCCCTTGACCAAAACCTTTTTTAGAGGTAGTGTCCCCCATGAGAGGTTTGGTGTCTGAAGTGGGGTGCAGCCCTTTCCAGACAGATGCTGGGCTCACTCTGTGGGAGACAGGCATTCTCCAGGTGTGAATGCCCCCAAAGTGGAGTGGACCCCAGGGGCCAACCTCTCCTTGCAGGAAGGCAGAGGAGAGCAGAAGGTACAAGGGTACCAGGTCTGTAGCTCTGGTTGAAGAAGAATTCAAAAACACTGTTTGCCGAGTTGGGGGCAACACCAGAGTCTTTCTGGGGGGCTAAGGTTGCAATCAAGAAACACCATCAAGGGGCACTTGGCAGCTGGCGGGTGAGCTGGTATTTGTGGATGCGGGTCTTTTGCTTTATATCCTGTGCTTTCCTGTTTATAACAAGGAGGGGGGTTATAACAACTTCACAAGTGCATGCAGCTGGCCCGTGATTACATTAAGCATTTGGGAAGCCTGCTTGCTCTCCCCCAACCCCCCCCCCACCCTGGGGTGTAAGCAGCCCCTCTTCTGTCTCATTTTACATTTAGCCACGTCACACTTTGAATCAAAAATCCTGAATGATACCAATTCCAAAGGAGTCCTCTCTTGCCCACTCCAAGTTGGGGTAGGGGTGGGGGCATGTAGCGTGACCAAGTCCTGTTTGTGATCTCGCTGAGTGTTCTTTTAAAGGAAAAAGAAAACACTGGGGATAACTGAATTAGCGTTTCATTGAGTAAGCCGCCGAGCGGTGCCAAAGAGAAAAGGGAGGGTGGGGACGGCAGGTGGGCGTAGAAACGGCCACCCGCACGCACCACCCGAGGGGGCGTGGCACTAAGCACTAATGTGGGAGGAAGGTCTGTCACGGCAGCTGTCACATCAAGCTGGGGACTGGTTGCCAGAGGTCAGGTAGCTTTTGCACGAAGAGCAGGAGCGCATCCCACTCCATTAGGAGGAACCTGGAAGGTAACCCATGTGGTTGGGGCTTTCCGGATACCGTGGAGGACGTAGACCGCAGAGGATGCGGTGAGTTTGAAATACCAAAAGAAAGTCGCAGCCAGCATCAGAAAAACCCAGTTTAGGTGCAGATCCCAGGGTCTGGGCTGGCGTCCCCGAGTCGGGACCTGCAGATAAACTAACGTATGCCTAGCTTGCCGGCAGGCCTAAGTCCTGGGAGTGGCCCTCTAGACAAGAGGGGGCGGGACGTAGCCCTCTCGGGATCCCTCCTTATCGCCAGTGCACCCCCTTTCAATCCTGGGGTGAGAAAAGAGCCTTAGTGTTCGCACATTTGCAAGCCTGGGGTCACCCGGCCTCTCCAGATCAGCACCACCCGGTCAGCCCAAGTTGGAAGCCAAAGCGAGTTCCACCTCTGCGCTGCCGGCTCTAACAGACGCAGACCGAGAGACCGGTGGCGCGACGCAACCCCCTCCCACACCTCTGCACCTCGCAGCCCCTCCCAGAGCTCCCCGCACCCGAAGTCCAGCACGCACATCCCCAATTCTCTGGAAACGCGCGCCGTCTGGGCGCGTCTTCCAAACTCTAAGGCAAATCCCAGCTTGAATCCGTGCACTAATAAACACCTCCCAATTTGGGCACAGGCCGAATGAGGGCGGAGATACGCAGGGCCGGTGGGCGGAGCACTGTTAGTAACAAGGAGGAAATAAATAAACAAACAAATAAATAAATAAATAAGAACCACCCCCCACCCCCCCACCCCCCACCCCGTTGTACTCGCGGTTGCCGTCGCACGCCCAGCCCTGCGCGCTTGAAGAGGTCTCAAAGCCTCGGAGAGAATCCAGATTCCAGCTGTGAACTCCAGCGTCGCCCCAGCCCGGCTCCTGGGCCAGCGCGGGCATAAATTCTGGGCTCCCAGATGAAGAGTTTGTAACTTGAGCTCAGGTGGGGCTGCTGTGGGGACGAACTTGGCGCTGGGGCACAATCCCACATTTCCGGGGACTGCAAGACCTAAGGCCCTAGCGTCCAGGAGCGGATGCGCCCTCGTGCGGAAGCTCCGTTGGCGGAGGACCCGGCTGAGGCCTGTCGGGGGACAGCTAGTCTGTGAGACAGCGACGGGAGTGGGCGGGACAGAGGAGTGGGCGTCCTAGAGAGCCCTTACAGATTCCTGAGTCTTCAGATCCCTGCAAAGCACGTCATCACCAAGCCAGTTGGTGAGAGCCACCTTCCTGGTGGAAACCCTGAGACCGCCACCGTGCAGGATGCTGCCGGGAGGCTTGACCTTCCAACTCGCTAGCAGAAATTGAGGGCAGTCACCGTTCCCAGTCCCCAGACTGAGCGGAAGTGAGCTCCTCAGGGAGGCTGGTTGGAGCCCAGGCTCTGGGGAGGGAAAGAGCCTTGGAAAGAAAGAGTGGTGAGATGGGGGCTCCTCCCACTGCCCCCACACCCTTCCTTGCTCAGCCCACAGCAAAAGGAAGACATCCCAGTTAGGGTCCTCTGCGCCATCTTTTCAAACATCCACATCCCTCTTCTAAACGTGAAGCCGGTTCACTACATTTCACACATGTAGTTATAAATATTTCACGGTGATGATATGTGTAGGATTCCACCCTGCGGTCAGCGTGCTGGAGAAGAGTGGGTGGAAAGAAGCAAGACCCGGCCTGGGCACCTCCTGACAACCTAAAAACATTGCAGGCGAAGGCGATAACAACAGTGTCAGTCACTGAGATCAGGTGAGCGCCCCCGGCTGTTGGCGTCACTCCAGCTGCTTGTAGGAAGTCATTTCACCCCCACAACAACTCTTAAGAGGTAGACACTTTTGTCACTCCCAGTTTGCAGACAAGGAAACCGAGACCTGGTAAGTTGATTGCCTTGGGTCCTTCATGGGGCAGTGTTCCAAAGATAGAAAAGCAATCTTATGACAACAGCCACATGTTTGGACCCCGGGGCCCGTGGGAGTTCCCTCCTGAACCCTCTCAGCATCTCTGAACGACGGGTGTGAAGGATTCACCCATTTTACAGATGACAAAACTGAGGCCGAGTGCAGCACTCCAGGGCTGGTGAACGACAGAACAGGGATCTGAACCCACATGATTGTCTCCCGAGGTGGTGCTCTGGGGTCTGGCCCCATCAGGGGCTGAGAAGGACTCTCTAGAGGAGAGGCTTCCATAAAGGAGAGGGTGCCTGGAGAAACCCAGAGTCCCCACAAACCCAGGAGACCCTCTCCTCCCCTCACCCCCCACGGCCTCTGAGGCTGGGGCACAGGGTCTTCTGTCCTTCTCTTCATGGTGGTGGGGGCCATGGGCTGGGACCAGGAGGGGAAGGTAATGGCGACCCAGCTGGTCCACAGGATGCTCAGCTAGGCAGAGGGCAGGGCACCCTGAATGACCACTCACTCAAGCTCACCTTGTTCCCAGGAGTGAAAGGCTCAGAGTGAGCTGCAGAGGCAGGTGCACCACCTTGTACAAGCACCGCAGGTCTCCACTGAGACCACAGAATCTTTTCTGTTCTGTTCCCCAGGAAAACCCCAGAGCTGAAGGAGGTCGGTCCTTTCTGACAGTGCACTCTATGTTCCTTAATCCTCACAACAATTCTATTTGACCACCCCCCCACCCCGTTTTTCCCCAGTTGAGAAACTGGCCCAGAGAGCTTCAGGTGATGGGGCCCGGTCACATGAGCCCTCTGCTAGCCTGTTTGTAAGGACCTGATTTGGTGTATCCACATTTGGCCTTAGGCCTTAGGAAGACTCCACTGGGACATGGGCTCAGGGGTGCCCACCTGTAACCCCGGCAACTGGGAGGCTGAAGCAGGAGGATTGCAAGTTGTAGACCAGCCTGGGTAATGGAGCAAGGCCCTGAGGATGTAACTCGATGACAGAGTGCCCTGGGCTCATTTCCCCCGTACTACCAAGAAAGAAAGGACCCCAGGGAAGGAAGGAAGGAAGGAAGGAAGGAAGGAAGGAAGGAAGGAAGGAAGGAAGGAAGGAAGGCCGCCCTGGGAAGTCCACCAAGATAACATGAAGCTAGGTGAGAAAAAGCCAGAGGGCCACCAGGAGACAGAAGGCAGAGGGCAGAACCAGGCGCTGCCGGAGGGGCCTGTCTGGGGTGTGAGGCTGGGGCTCCTGGGAGGAAGCTGCATTCAGGCCTGAAGGCGGAAGCCTGCTTCCCAGCACCATTCCCTGAAGCCCCAGGACGCGCTCTCTTCTCAGCCTGCCCGCTCCATTCCACCTCTTCACATGCTCACAGCCCCGGGCTGAAGCTCCCCGCAAGCCAGACATTTGGAAAAACCACAGCACACAAAGTGATATCCGCAAAACTCACTCTGCACAAGACACAATTCTGCTTCCCTTGGCTGCAGAGCAGGGATGTTGAGCGGGGAGGGGAGGCCTGGTGGGAGTCAGAGGTGGGTGGCGTCTTCCCAGGCACAGGGCCTATGCCGGAAGAGGGTCATGGCTGCCAACCTTCCAAACTCCCCTGAAACATTCCACTGCTTTCCTTGCATGCCTCTGTCAAAAAGCAAACATTGCAAACGCCTTGGAGAGCTGAGGCCACGCAAGAGAGAGGCAGGCAGCAAATGCTTCTCAAAGTTTGGGAAAGCAGTTCAAATATGTGGGGTAAGAAAGCATTCCCGAGAGAGGGCAGCCCTGGCGGCTCCAGCCAGCCTGTCCCCTCACCTGGCACTGAGGCACCGGGCCCTAGCACCCCCTCTCCATCAGCAGCAAGCTGCCCCGAAGGCATAGAACCTTCACTTCCACGGACCCACGTCTGCTCCATGACACGGGTAGACAGCTGCAGATGCCCATGCAGGACAGGGTTCCTGAGGGCCAGGTGCAGGATCTGAGGCCACAGTGGTCCTACCAAAGTGGGTCTTTTCTCTGTGCTCTGTCACCATTCTCTCAGGTTTCGGTTAACAATGAATTTCCACCAGCCCCTCCTACCCAACAGCCCCTGGCCTTGTTTGGATTGGGGGCAGGAGGCAGGGGCTGCCTAGCAGGCTCTTTCTCAGGAGGGAGCTGGAAGCTGCCTTCTGGCTCTGGGGCCCTGCAGGAGTCTCTGCCAGTGCTGTCAGTGACCTGCCCCCAGCAGTGGAGGGGCAGAGGGGAGAAGAGGACCCTGGAGATTTATGAGGCAGGCTCTGAATTCCCAGGACCCTGCCCTTCCTCCTTCCAGTTTCTGATCTTCATTTCTCACAAGCAGGGGGAGGGTGGTGGGGAAGAGAGGGTCCGTCCCAGAAGCCCTGGCTGTGCCAGGTGGAAGGAGAAGGGCTGCTTCGGTAGCCTGTGCGCTTTCCAGCTCCAGAGTACCAGGGAGGCAACAGGTCCGTTCCTGCAGATGTGCTCTTGGTATTTCTAGTCCAACACGTGAGCAGTTCAGGAGGTAAGTCACTGCAGAGTTGACACCTTGGGGGCAAGTCACTGGAGCCAGAGCAGTGAGGGCCACCAGGTTGCAGATTCACAGGAGTCCTGGAAGAGGCCTGGGCAGGGCAGGGCACTGGCAGTCCCTTCCTGCGCACTGTGAAGTGGTGTGTGGCCTCAGGGTCTTCCAAGAAGCACGTGGTAGATGTATGTGGTGGACCGCAGAGGCCCCCACCCCCAGAATCAGGCGGGCGAGGCCAGGCACCCCTCTGCCCAGACCTTTCCCCCTCTTCTAGAAGGCTTCCCACGGACAGAGAGGGCTAAGAAAGAGGCAGCCAGTCGATTTGTGGATCACCGACAGCTGTGCCTGGCGCCCAGGTCTTTTTTGGCAGGCAGCAGACACCCGGGGTGGGGGCGAAGACCTGCGAGCCGGCGGGCCGCCGCTTTAGTGCGCCTTTGCTCACAGCGTCCGGCTTCGGGCTTCTCCGCGGGGCTGCAGGAGAGGCTGCTAAACCGAGGCCTGAGGCCGCGCAGGAGGGCCGAAGCCGGGCGAGCCGAGCGTGGGGCCAGGCGACACGCGCAGCAGACAAAACCAAGCTCCCGGCCGTTCCGCACCACCCAGCCTCCTTGGTTTAAGACTCCCAGCGACAGTGACGGAGAGCGCTGGCCCACACCTCCCAGGGCCACGGGTCTCCACTCTCCCGCCTCCGGAGGCCCCAGATGCGACCGTCCTGAGCTTGCCCACCTTCCTCGCTCTGCGGGCTGCGGGGCGGACCTTCTCCAGCTACCCGCTGGCGGCTGTGACTTCTTGAGGAAAGCTTCCTAAAGGTGCAGAAGCCCGACGCCGTGTGGCGGTGTGGCACTGTGAGGGCAGCAGCCGGTCTCTCCCCCACTCCATCCCTTCTCTACTTTCCAGGTCTCTGGGTCTCATCATTCACAGGGCAGCGAGAGTTCCAGACCCCAAGGCAGGGCAAGCTTTCAGGGAGGTCTCTTTGGAACATCTGGAGAAGGAGAGCACAACCCACTCCTGGTGCTGAGTGGTCCTCTTGGGTCACGGGCAGGAAGAACAGAAGCAAAGTGAAACCGGTGTGGCTGACGGGAGCCAGGGGCTCCGGCCACCGAGTTATGACCCCAGGAGAGGACCCCTTCCTCAGGTACCTCCTCTTGCTCACTGAACCCTAGCATGGCTGCCTAGGTGCCTGCTCAAGTCAAGCCCCGGTCCGAACCTATGGAGAGAACCAGCCCGCAGGCTTTAAGCCTTGACCACCGGCCACCTCTGCCTCCGCACACTGAAGAATCTGTGCTGCACATGTGGGGAGAATTACTGTGCT